AATTTTACTACATACTATGATCTTTCTGATCCTAAATACAATTATAAATAAAATCCGGGTACCGTCACCGCCTGTGACAAATAGATTATTTCAATAAATTAAAAATAAAAATTTAATAAAAAATTTTTTTTAAAAAAAACTCTTCATTAGTTTAAAATACAGGTTCTTCTGAGCATTTGAGTAAAAGTTTTAAAACAGTTATTATGTAATTTACAGAGGAGATACAATTTGAAATTTAAAAATTTCATATGAAACGATTATAAAAAATTATCAAATTTTAAATTGTATCTCCTCTGTAAGTTACATATTAACTAGCTTAAAAAATTTGCTCGATTACTCAATAGAGCGTTTTTTTTATTAATTTTAAGAATTTTTAGTAATATTAATAATTTTCGTTAAAATTTATAGCAATTTACTATAAATCAGCGTGATCGTTACGCCAAAAAATTTATATATTCGATTTTTATATGGGACTATACATATATTTGATTTACATAATACATTGGACACCCCAACTGTACATTAATGCTGGTTTATACAATACATAATTCTATAATGCCGAGTAGTATAACATATCTCAATAGGAAATTTTGCATACAGGGCTGTGTAGCAGGGCTAAAACGACACATAGCAAATGCTGGCCATTTACTGCGCCATTGCTATTATTTAAAGTATCTTTCTTGATACATAAAACTTATTAGTAGAAATATTTAATATTTGATCGTCTTTAACAATAGACTGCCATATGCATATGTATAATGCAGCATTAAAAATTATAATATAATGTGAATCAAGAACGACACTTATTGAATGGCCGGCATTTACTATGTGTCGTTTTAACCCTGCTGTGTAGTGGCTGTGTTTATAATAAATAACAATTATCGTTATATTTACTAACTTGTTGATAATTTGTTGATAATTTGTTGATAATTTGTTGATAATTTGTTGATAATTACTTGTTATTTTTTGAAAAAAAGATTAAATTGAAATTATTAAGTTCGAATGATAGTTTTTTTCTAAAGTCAAATTACATTTTTTTTAGTTCGCATTTTATTAAACCAAAATATTTTATGATGGATCCAATTGATACGAAAATAAAAGAGAATGAATTATTAAGAAAGATCGATTGTAGAATCATGCCAATTATGCTACTGTTTTACCTATTAAGCTTTTTAGATAGGTATAAGAGTTATAATTCTCGATCATACCATATTTGAAGAAAATAATTATATATATCGATATATGTATATTTTCTTTTAATTAAAGGATAAACATTGGAAATGCAAAGTTGCTACATATGGAAAGTGATGTTGGATTAGTTGGAAGTGAATTTAATTGGTGTCTAAGCATTTTTTTTTATGTAAGCTTTCTAATTAAATTATTTTGATAAATTATTTATAAAGAATAAATTCTATTAAGAATCTTTAAATTAATTTATAGTGGATATGTTATATTTGAAATACCATCAAATTTGATATTATATAAAGTTAGACCTTCAATATGGCGTAAGATTTAACTTTAACAATGGTATTTTTTAAAGAAGGTTGTGTCGTTTTTATTTTCACACAAGTTATTGATCTTTTTTATAGTCCCAACAATTATGATTGCTTGGGGAATAACAGCATCATTTATGGCTTTTGTGAGTAGTGGAATTAGAAACTTCATTATTTAATTCTAAATAACGCAAATTAATCTCATATATATATATTTTTAATGAAAGGTAAAATCATATACAGAACTTTTGTTCACACGTGCTCTCTTGGGAGTTTTCGAAGCAGGTCTGCTTCCTGGAATAGTTTATTATTTTACTATATGGTATAAAAGATACGAACAAGGTTTTAGAATAGGAATAATTATGTCCTCAATATCAATTGGTGGTGCTTTTAGTGGATTATTAGCTTATACAATTGCAAACCTTACGGATGACGATTCACCTTTAAAAGGATGGCAATTGGTATGTCGATTTCTTATACAGTATCAAAAGCAATTATAATGTTTGCATTGTTAATATTTATTTTGTCTAATGCGATGATGTTATTCATTCCGTTTTATGTAACAGATTTTATAATTGATGGTTTAGGTTCCATTATAGTTGCTATTATTGCATATTTTAATATCACTGATTATCCAGAAGAAGTCAAGTGGCTTAACGAAGAAGAGCGGTCATTGGCAGTTTTAAGGTTAAAACTTGATGATGGTGATGAGTATCATAAAAAAGCTTGAGAACACTCATTTGATAAGGTTTATGTACTAGAATGTTTGAAGGATTGGGTATGATAGATTATTTTTATTTTATGTTATTTAAAATGACTTTGTCATCACTTTTTTTTCATTATAGTTAATTTTTCATTTAGAAAGTGTACATATTGATGCTCATTTTATTAGGAGTTTATATCACAATTTATTCATTTGTATATTTTGTTCCTTCAATAGTCAATGGAATTGATTTTGATAAAGGCAAGCATGAAAAAAGAATAATAAAGCATGAAATTTTACATAATTTCCTAATCTCTATTACAATCTCTATTATTACATATTACACTTTAAAGCTATATCTCAAATATTGGTGGCACCTCCATTTTTGCTTGGCTTTATCTTACAATTAATAGCACCAGCTTTATCTGATCGTACGAATCTTCGTGGTCCTTTTTTAATGTTATTTGCCTCAATTGGGGTCGTGGAATACATAATTATTTTGTATTCTGAAAATATGAAGGGTATGTCTGGTTAATATTTCAAATTCTTGTATATTAATGTTGTTATTATCATTAATATTTTTATTCACATTTTTTTATTATTCGTTTATATAGTGAAATATATAGCAACTTGTATTATATCAATAGGTATAGCTCCATGTAGTGCTATTGCTATTATATGGTAAATATGAGATTCTTTGCATTTAATTAATTCAATTTCATATAAGTACAAAAATCTTTCTACTCTTAATTTATATCATTCCAAAAGGCTGTCAAACAACCTGTCACCACCGCTAAAGTGTAACATAGGTGTTGCAATGATGATTAGTTGTGGTAACTGCGGAGGTATAATTGCCACTCAAATATATCATTCTGTAGATTACCCTAATTACGTGCTTGGTCATACTATTGCATCAAGTACTTTATTAGCAGCCGCTTGTTTGAGCGCAATCCAGTATGTAATGTTAGGCCGACTTAATGAGTTGAAAAGAAGGAAAAAAATTAGCATTAAAGCTTCTATTGAAGAAGATGAAAAGGAATTAGGTGATAGACATTATAACTTTAAATATACTTTGTAAAATATAGTATGGTCTTTTGGAAGGGCAAGGAGCAATTTACCAATGAAAGATGGTTAGATAATACATGACATTTAAAATGAATATAAAGTGTCCCATGAAAGGTATAAGTAAATTAGTTAATTGAAGAATTAAATTATAAATAAATTCTACATCTGGCAAATGTATTAAACGATTCTAGCATCGCCCATAAGTAAATGTTGCATTGTGGAATCGAGATTGAGTTTATGTAAATTAAGCTGTATTGCCTATATATTATTGCGATTTGCAAAATTCTGGATCCAATTGATTGATCATCATCTAACAATCACAATCAAATAACAATGTAATTGTTATTAATATGCGATTGTTAGATGATGATCAATGGGATCCAGAATTTTGCAAATCGCAATAATAGAAATACAAAAAAAAAATAAATAAATTGTTTGTAATAAAGACTTCGTTAATAGCAAAGAAAACAATTGACAACTTGTTAGAAATGTCAATAAATGAGAAAAATTCATATCTAATGGCAATACAAAATCAAGAATTCGACACCAGAAGTGAATTTGCTGTTAGTTTCGAAGGTATTACTGTATTAATGAATTTGTCTAGATATAATTTATGATGATATGCTAGCGACAGGAAAATATATTTGCTAATCTTATTAATAAATACTGTAATATATGTAATATCGATATTTATTAAGTTACACAGCTCACCCCAAAATTGGCGATTGCTACGGCATAGCATTCACGTGCTCATGGGCACAACACTGACCGGCATTACTAAAATAACTCTAACACTAACTCTGGCCGGATTTTTGGGGTGAGTCGTGTAACTTCATTAAAATTATTAAAATTATTTCATGAAACAAAAAATAACTGCGAGGAACTCGTAAAAGAGGTAAATATTCGATAATTTGAATTTATAATTTAGTAATTGTTATTCATTTATTAATTTTAAAGTTAATCTCGTTAAATATTGATCTAAAAACTCCACATGATTACAGTGTTATGAAATATCAAAAAATGAAGGCACAGATTATTTGGTTTTACGAATAGTTGTAGTGTATGGTCGAGTGAAGTTGTATACTACGAACATCGCATTTGAGTATATAAAACTATTTATTATATATATGTATAAAAATAGTATAGTTGCAAATAATTTAATTATGTGACCTCACAAAATTCTACAAAAGTTTATTTATTGTTATAATAAAAATATAACAAATACGTATCGCCTATGGGTCAATAAAAAAAAAAAAGATTTTACATGATTGTGCGTACTGCCAGAATTGTGCTGTTGTACTATACCAGATACTGTTTTTTATGAATTATAGTTGTTAAGCAAAATCTAGAGGTTTCGTGCTGGTGAAGCCGAAACCCTAATTTCGATTTTTGTTAAAAAAAATGAAATGGAAATGTGGTGAAACTGGCAAAATGTGACGAAACTAGGAATTGACAAAATCAATAAAACTGAAGGTTGTAAAAACTAGTAAATCTTAAGATAATTTAAATTAGCCTTTTTATCTTAATATATTTTCCAATCACAATTAGAACGATAAGCAAAAAAAAAAAAAAATACCTTTATTAAAATTGAAAGTCGCATTTTTAACCTGAGTATTTGCATGGCATTGTATAAACAACAATTAGAAGGATGCGTAAAAAACAAGTTTACCTTAATTAAAATTAAAAGTCATATGCTTAACTTTCACGAAGTTTCGCATATCTTTATTGGAGTTCCATCGAGGTTTCACGTTTTGCCAGGGTTTCAACGTTTCGTCAGAGTTTCAATGTCATTTGCCATTTTTGGAAACCTGCTCGCTTACTATCTATAGTTTACTATCTATAGTGGCGGCGTAGAATGGTTATGCTTCATATTTTACATAAGCTTTCTGAGAAAAGGAATTTGTATTTCGGTATTAAAAACTTTCATTTAAAGAATTATTTTTATCGAAAAAATTTTTCTCTTTATTAGTAATGAAGCTTTCATTAAAAGGATCGTTTGTTTCGAAAAATTTTCTCCTTTGAAAAGCTATTAAACGATAGTGTAGATTCCTCGTCAGAACTAATATCATTCGAAGGTATGATCATTTTATTGGTGGGTAATCTATATTTTAAAATCGAAATTTTTTAAAAAAAAAATCACTGTTACGATCATTTCTTTCGTTATTTAAAGACAATATTAGGCTTAGGGCTTTTAATTTATGATATCATAGACTCGATCTATTAAAAATCTTTATAAAATTGCACAAATGAAATTGGAGAAAAAATTAGAATTATTATTCTACTTCAAATTCGATCTTCAATAACGGTATTATTTTGATGATTACGTCATTATCAAATAACGAAGTTTGATGTCCAGGTAGCACGTCTGAAATGTGTGCCAGGTTTGTGGCGCAGCAAAAACCTTTAAAGTTCGTTAATGTTAGGGTTAGCGTGGT